TGAGGCGATCACCTATCAAATGCCTATATCATTGCGTTGCCTCTTTGCTAATGTATTAATTTTTTGTAGGCTTGCAAATCCTAAGAATTTATGGGTTAAATTTAAAGAGTACATGATAGAATATTTTATACATACAAGTATGACAGTATGTGATGCCGAGATTAAGACTTTGAGATGCATAAATTCATTCTTGAAAGTTTTTTGTACAAACATAAATGATTTCGGTTTGGTAGATTTTAACGCTATTGTGAACGATGCTGATGTGTTAGCAAACATGATTTTAGAAGAGACTACAAATATTAATGTTCAATGTGACATGTATTTTACAGAGAATTTAAATAAGGAACAACAATCTGCCTATGATGTTATTTTAGACTGTATTGTAAATAATAAAAATGGAGTTTTTTTTTTATTGATGGTCCAAGAGGTACTGGAAAAACTTTTCTGTATAAGGCATTACTTGCTGCAGTATGATCTCGACAATTTATTGCATTAGCAACGACATCATCGGGAGTGGCTGCTTCTTTATTGTCGGCTGGGCGAACTGGTAATTCACGTTTTAAAATCTTACTTCAAATAAGTTCTGATATGCAATGTTCAGTAAGTAAACAATCATCACTTGGTCAATACAAATGACAAAGTTAATTGTGTGGGATGAAACACCAATGATTAATAGATGTGTTTTTGAAGTTTTGGATAAAATGTTAAAAGATATTATTGAATGTGAATTGCCATTTGACGAAAATGTTATTGTGTTCGGAGGAGATTTTCGACAAGTGTTACCAGTAGTACAAAGAGGAACAAAAGATGATATCATGAATGCCAATTTAGTTTTTTCAGATTTATGGCAATATTTTACACAACTACTATTGACCGAGAATATGAGAGCTAAATTAGATCCTTTGTTTTGTAAATATTTACTTAGAATTGGAATTGAAATTGAAAGAGAATATACATGTCACATGATTAAGCTTCCTTCAGATATGATTTTGAGAGTGAATTTGAATTATTGAAAAAACTAATTGCTATTGTGTTTCCTAATTTTCACACATATGGTAACAATTTGAATACTATGATGAACAAAGTTATTTTGACTCCAAAAAATGAACATGTAGATGTAATAAACAATATGTTAGTTAAAGAAATTCTAGGAGAGATATTTACGTATTTTAGTTTTGATGAAGTAATTGATAAAACAGAAGGATTTATTCGTGAGAACTTTTTGATTAGTCTAACTCCAAATGGAATTCATCCACATGAACTTGTATTAAAAAGAAATTGTCCTGTTATGTTGTTTAGAAACATTAATCCTTCAGAAGATTTGTGTAATGGACCAAACTTATTTGTCGAGAATTTAAACGAAATGTTATTTTAGACGAAATTGGAATAGGTGAATATCGTGGAAAGCAAATATTTTTACCTAGAATTTCATTTATTCCACTTTAAGGAGATAAGTATTTGATATCATTTAAGAGAACTCAATTTCCTATTCGTCCTTGTTTTGCAATTACCATTAACAAAGTTCAAGGTCAAACTTTAGATTTCATTGGACTATATTTGTCTAAACCTATCTTCTCACATGGTCAGTTATATGTCGCTTTATCTAGAACAAGAATAAGAGAAAACATAATAGTTCTAATAAAGTCAATGATGAAAAAAATCACACAATTGTTGCACAAAAAATGTAGTCTACCTTGAAATCTTGAATTTGATACATACTACTTAACAAGTCTATAATTTTGCTTAATTTGACTGTCAATCTATTGTTAGCCTAAAAGAGGATATTTTCTCTGTTAATCCATCTTGTGTCAAGGAGAATAACATTGAGCTATACAAGGTTAGTTATTCTTATATATTATTATGCGTTTCAATTATACTTTAATTATTAGTACGATTTTTTCTTCAACATGGTGCATACAAAAGGGTCGAATCATTATCTTTAAACATATCCTTCATAATATTTCATGTTCAACATATCTTTATTTATTTGGGTTTAAATAGTCTTATTTTATGTACACATAAACTGATGTGACAAGATACCAAAAGAAAAGATAAAAAGCACAAGTTTATTACATGATATTATCTACTACAATTAGGACCTATGGGGATGAAGAAAGTATTCGTTATTACAAATATCTACCGTAATCTTTCGTCTATATATGCTCATCCTATCCGACGAAGCTAATTCAATTGGATATCCCAAAACAAAGCATTCTATATATTTAAGCACGAAAATTTTACAATTAGGCTCGTGGAAAAAATAGTTTAGTGTTAGATTAAATAACTAAGTTCAGGAAATTAAATATTCTGCTAAAAAACAAGCCGCTCAAATGCTTACCCATTGTTTGCACAATTTAAGTAGGGTATAATTTCCTGCTCCATTTGTTTATTCCTATGTTTCCTTATATCTCCTGTAAAAGAAAAAGCCGTTTTCAATAATGCTTGTACCATAGTCAATGAAGCTTTTGTATGTGCTTTTACTTGATCCGGTGTGTGGACATTATTACTGCAATCATATATTTGGAATTTCTATTCAAGAATATTGACAAGAAAAGGTACCAGCTATTGCCCCGGATATGAGCACAGAATTAATATATACTTGCATCTCATCCAA